ACCTTTTCTGTTTTGTTTTTTCTAACCATTTCTTGTTCTTCGTTTTTATTTGATTTTATTATGTTTTCACTATGTCTTCATTTGTATTTTTCGTCTTGCCATTCTATATGTATTTGAAACTTTATTGTATTTGAAAAATCCAGATCCTGAACAGGATATGATTTCAATAAAGGCATTACTTACTTACTTACTTACTTACTTCACAATCACCATGTCACTGTCTGAAACATACCATTATGCCACAGGGAGAGACAGGATGTATGTATCTCAACTTCTGCTGACAACACAATCCAGTGACTATCAGCAGTCTTAAAAATAAACATGTGCACAGTGCAATGGGTTGTTGCAAAGTATCCAAACATGTGCGCTTTTCACACACAGCCAGGGCTCTGTACTTTTCACTTACAATTTATGTCACAATATGATATATATAAACCTTTGGTGGCATGGCTTTGTAAATATGTTGTTGAATGCTTCAATAATTTAGAAGTTGAATTTGTTTATCTCAGGATCAAAATAATTACCATGGTTGAAAGCTTTTCCATGGTACAACTAGAATTGGCCAATATATTATGTGGCTTTTAACATTTCCATTACAGCTAACTTTCTGAAGCTTTGACACAGAGTCATGTTGTGACGAGGTTTATGTCTACGATGGGAGTCTCAAGCTTTGACACAGAGTCATGTTGTGACGAGGTTTATGTCTACGATGGCAGTTCAACGTCCTTTGACACAGAGTCATGTTGTGACGAGGTTTATGTCTACGATGGGAGTCTCAAGCTTTGACACAGAGTTATGTTGTGACGAGGTTTATGTCTACGATGGGAGTCTCAAGCTTTGACACAGAGTCATGTTGTGACGAGGTTTATGTCTACGATGGCAGTTCAACGTCCTTTGACACAGAGTCATGTTGTGACGAGGTTTATGTCTACGATGGGAGTCTCAAGCTTTGACACAGAGTCTTGTTGTGACGAGGTTTATGTCTACGATGGGAGTCTCAAGCTTTGACACAGAGTCATATTGTGACGAGGTTTATGTCTACGATGGGAGTTCAACGTCAGCTACTTTTCTTGGAAGTTTTTCAGGGACAGACATACCACATTTATTGATGTCCAGTGGTTCAGACATGATGGTGTATTTCTGATGGTTCTTCCGTTGGATATGGATTCTATGCCTCATACACCCTAGGGTCGGCACTGGACTTGGTTGGTAAATTTATTATATCACTATTTCATGATGCTATTGATCACAAGTTTGAAATGTATTCATATCATGCTCATAAATGAATGCTGACTATAATTGGTGAAAAATGTAATGGTGATAATTTATGCTATACTATTCTCAATTGTTAATCATAGTGTCTTAATTCTTATTTAGCTTGTGACAGGGGAAGCATATCATCTGTAGGAGGTGTGCTTCAATCACATGCATCATACCCAAGTGGCTACACATCACCTATATCGTGTACTTTCACCATAGTGACATTCGATCCGTATACAGAAATCCACATAGAGTTTCTAGATGTGGATCTCTACGGTAAGCCATCATCATGCCAGCAAAGATTCTTCATTTGTTATGCAGATATAAGCTGTGACACTTCGCTGAATATAATCTGGTAACTAATTGGACAGCTGTGAAACTCACATATTATCAGTTTGATGATCCGAGAAAAGAATGTGCTTTATAGAATTATATTTGCATTACATTTAACACATATTTGTGTTATGCAAGCATGTGTAACCATTAAACTCTTCTGTGTTGATAAAATTCTAATACCTAAAAATAACTTTAAAGACATCAAATGTATCAGAAATGACCAAAAAAAAAACATACTAAAATTTTAAAAATACCAACACAAGAAGAGCTGTGAACACAGAGCTAGGTCAAGACAAATTTCAAAACTTATTCATGTACTTCACTCTATTCAAGAATATTCATATCATCGATAAATATAAAACATAATTGTTCTAAAAGACACATTTATCTAATGTTTAGATTCAGGTCCCTTTGAAGACAGTATTGGAATTTTTGATCAATATGGAACACCTGTTGACACACTCTATGGAAGTGACGGCGTGGGTATTCAATACCAGTCTACCTCTACTATGTGTATCACATTGACTGGTGTGAACACACATTATGGCGACTATCAAGGATTCAGAGCTGTGTATACATTATATTATGGTATGTAACATTGTCACATTGGATCTACATTCTAAAACTTCTATATTCCAACAATCTAAAACTTTTTGGTCAGCTGCTTTAAGTTTTACAGTGGGGAATTATGGCCAGTAACACCATGTCATGTCTTTCATTAATGCAAGAATTAGCAGCTGTCAATCACTTGGCCAGTGTATAATATAGAATACATTGTAATGTATACACTATTACATTACAATCTGAATAATACTAAACAGTAAATTGTTTCTGTCACTACGGTACTTTGTAATCAGAGACCGTGACACATGCTATATCTTTTTTTTACATATTACAGAGACATATTACAGAGACATATTACAGAGACATATTACAGAGACATATCACAGAGACATATCAAGATTTCCACTGTGATAACCACAGGTGTATTCATGGGAGTTTAAGCTGTGATGAACTGAATAATTGTGGAGATTACTCTGATGAACATGGGTGCAACTTGTTAGGTATATTGTCATGTTTAATATATAAACTAGATCAGCAATATGCAATGATGTATATGCAAGTATTTATTAATATACTTGATGTGTATTTTATAGATATTATACCTCTTGAAGTATTTCTTGGTGGCGCATTTGTGGTTCTTGTCTTCATTATAATAATTATCATAGTGTGTTACTGTTGCTGTAAAAAGAAGCGACCCGTGGCACCCAGCACAATCGGTAGAACTACAAAAATGACCACCAACAATGAGTAAGTGACAGACAAATAGTTCAATTAATAAAAAAATTGTCCTCATATCTTGCGTAATCATCACAAGCTGTATTAAGGATGGAATATGCAGATAATACCTGACTGAAACTCGCTAAGACCATTCCATCACTCCTGGTACACCACTCTAACAAAAAGCCTTAATACTGAACACAGGATATTAAACAGGGTTAGAAAGAGGTATATACCACTGAAATCATGAGAATGTGATAATGAATTAACTATATACATATATTTGGTTAAATGCACTCTACTTTTATTTTACAGACCTACAGTTTCATACAGGGCACAGCCTCAGCCACAAGCTGGATACCACCCACCGCCGATTTATGGGGGAGGTCACCCAGGTGGTGGATACAATTATACTGGTTACAGCAACACATACCCGCAACAACCCATGTTTCCTCCTGTTGAGGGAGGTATGGCATACCCTTCTCTGCCCATGCATGCATCCAATCCACCAAACACCAATCTATCAGCATGTCCACCCCCATCAATGGTGCCATCAGCAACAAAGGTTGTAGGAGTTCCACCACCAGCAGTATATGCACCGCTGGCACCTGCCCCTCCACAGCCATACTCATAAATCAGAAATTAAAATTGGAGAATTTGCATATTCTTTGATTTTGATGGATATTATTGTACCGCCCTTTCTCAGTTGGCAAGTTATGGCTTGAAATTCTTAATTTTGTAATTGCTGATCTTATTTTATAATTCAGAATTACTTTTAGATAATTTTCAAATTTGTAATTTTTCTTTACCAGTAAGTATGTCTTTAATTTGTTGCCAACATTTTGATTGTTGCCTTTATTGAGTTGTTTCATCCATTCATTATTATATGTATCTTTAAGTTTATTTTGAATAATTCTTTTTATGTTTTTAGAATTTAGATTATTAACTTCCCAGAGTTTGTTACATTTAAGTGTTTCTAACATGTGTTTTATAAAAGTTACAAATGATTTTTGTCCTTGTTCGTGTAGATCCAGTTCATTTTGTAAAGCTATCTTTGTCAGAATCGGGGACTTTCCATGTGCTATCCTCCTATACCTCCAAATGTATGGGGTACCGACCTAATTCGCCCCGTGATGCATTGTTTGAGCTTCTCCTGTGGACTCCTAATGTATTCTTGCAGAATTTTAAATGTAGTTTTTCATATTCCAAATTGTCATTTGTGATTGATTTGAGTGTCCCTTTGTGTTCGAAATTGTTGTTGGTATAGGCACCCCATATTTCACTCCCATATATACAAACTGGTTTTACCATGCTGTCAAATAAATAACATAGTGTGTTAATTTGGGTATTGGCGTAAATGTTGAATTGTTGTCTAATTGAGAAGTAGCTTTTTTGTGCTTTCAGAGTCAATGATTTAATACAGGTTTTGAAGGTACTATTTGAGTTAAAATTGATTCCTAAATATAGTAATTTATTGTCAATCTGTATCTTTTTATCATCTATATAGAAACTCTCTGAATTATCAATTTTTTTGTTCATAATCAGAATTGTTATTTTCTTTACACTAACATTTAATTTCCAGCTTTTACAATAGTTTTGTAATTTAAAAAATGTTGTTGTCCAGATTTAGTCTTTGATAGGATGACTATATCATCAGCATACATAAGGCATGGAATTGGTTCCTTACCCAAAATTGGGCAATCAGCTGTATCTTTCTTTAATTTTTCCATTTTTTCTTATTTTGTTATGGTTATTCATAATAGACTTGAGAACAAATACATGATCAGAGGTCCTGCAGTCTTTCTTAAAGCCAATTTGATATTTAGATATAATATTATAATCATTAAGGAACTTGTTTAGCCTGTTATTCAGAATAATCGAAAACAATTTTCCTAAACAGCTCGTTATTGTTATACCTCTATAGTTTGAGGGATCATCTTTGTTAGCTGATTTATATATTGGTACAATATATCCTTTATGCCAAAGGGATGGGTATTTTTCGTCTTGTAGTACTGTATTAAATATTTTGAGTAAATGATGTTTAATGTACATGAAACTGGATTTTATCATCTCGTTTGAAATTTTGGCAAATCCACATGCTTTTCTATTTTTCAATGTTTTAATTGCCTCTTTGACATCCTTTTCCACTATTGGTTTATCCAGTGTCATGTTGTGTACTTTGCCTTTCTTCTTCTCTAATTCCTCTAATTTCTTTATAATTGAACCTTTGAATTTGTTATCATAGTTTTGATCATTTGTAGAATTCAGTTTTTTATAAAAATTAAACCAGCATTCCGGAGTTATCAAATTGTCCATACTTTGTTTTCCTGATTGTTTCTTATTGAATGACTTGATCAGATCCCACAAGTCTTTATTATAACAATTTGTCTTTTTGCTTTTTTTAATCATTTTTCGCAGTGTTTTCTTGGTCTTATAGTATACCTGTCTCATGTCTAATTCCTTTGGATTTGCTTTCATCACTTTCTCTAAACGATTAACTTCATTTCGTAGTTCACTGCATGTCTTATCGAACCATGGTTTATGTTTGCGTTTACATTTGGATGCTGATATGACCTTCAGTGAAGATTCACCAGCACTCACTAAAATATGTGTTAACTTATTTATGTTACAATTCAAATCTATGCTATTATCATTCATTTGATTAATTAATGAGTCTAATTCTAATTTAATATTTCCACTACTTAATATGTTTTGAAATAAGTCACTTGATCTATCACTCCAAACAAATTTATCTATAAATTTTTTTAACTTATGTGTCATATTACAAACTGGTTGTCTTCAGATTTATAATCAGAGAAATACTACAATGATCCGATAAATAAGATATATTACCTACTTTAAATAAAATTAGTTTATTTATGAGTAATTCATTGACGATAAAATAATCTACTACACTCTGACCATTATACTTATAACAAGTATAACCACCTTCTAGATTGCCCAAAATTCTACCGTTTGCAATGCGCATTTGAGCTGTTTGACATATGTTTATTAAAATTTGCCCCAGTTTGTTAATTTCAGAATCATAGCTATTGCAGGGATTAATTTTCTTATCACTGTTGTAATTTGGACTGATATGTACATATTTATTTGAGCTTTCTACAATATAATCAGCAAATTCACTACGTTCAATTACCCACCATAGACTCCGGTCAGTCAAAATGACTATTTTGAACTGTTGGCATTAATCAGCAATTCTGCCAATGACGGAGAGATAGAATCTAGGTCAGGGGAAGCCCCATGAACGTAAGATTCTTTTCCCTTACGTCATAAACCACGTGATCGAGGCCATAAGTCAGCGCCAATACGGCTGGTTAATCGCCTCGAATGGAGATGAAATCTAGCGAGCTCTGCCTGAATCACTTGCTTTTTCCTGTCCGGGTTTCTAGCTTGGGTTGTTGCCGCTGGGCGGCATGCGACATTGTAGCTGGTAGGATAGTTTTTTCTCATCATTTTTACCCTCGTGTCGTTTTCCCCTTAGTGTGTAGCATTTTTCACAACAAAGAAATAAAACCTGGGCGTCGTAGCTTAATCACTTGTTGAAATGGTACTTGATATTTGTATTTCGAGCCACAATGATTCTGATTCATGTATGTTAACTTTTGGTAATATTTTGAATGGGATTGAGTTGTGAATATGTGCAGCCACACCTCCACCAGGAGTAGTACGACAGTTTTTAACTATATAATTAGAAATGTTAAACTAGGATAAATTATCCTCTTGCCATATTTCAGACAAAGAAATGATTTGAAATTTTGATGATAAAGTATTTTCACAGAAAATTTTTAATTGGTCAATATTTTTTTTTAAGATCTTATATTTAAATGTATAATGGCAATAGCACCTGGTGGAGGTTTTGGCAATTCTGTATTAAAGTCATTAACGGAATATGATTTACAATGAAATTTATGTGTTGTTCTCATCTCTTGGTTGGCAGTCATATTTGAAGAGAATGTACAAATTGCTTATAATAACTAAAATTTAGGAGGAGAAACAGAAAACAATGACATTATATTATCTTACTGATGTCGGCTTCTGTATTTATAATTATTGTATTGTGGTCAGGTGACTTCTTCACATAAATGCGCCCATTGTAAGTCCACATAAATTTATATCCTGTCCGTTTCTTTGCTGCATTGGTCTTGCCTAATAGAGATCGCCCAGCTTGAGTTAAGTTTTCATTGATGTATATATTGTTATTTTGTTCATATCCAAAATCTCTGGAGGAGATTTCTTTAAGTTTGCGCCTTTTGTCATATGTACTGTTACGTCTTCTGGTGGTAAATCTTACAATGATAGGCCTAGGTCGTGGTTGTTGTCTCTCCTCACTCCGGGTCGCCATGGTTCCTGATTTTCTTGTACCTATGCGATGAGTTATATCTATTTCATTTGCTGTTATTTCTGGATAAATTTTCTGTAATATGTTCAGAACTGTGCTATCTGTATTCTCTTCTATATTGGGTGTTTTCGGAATACCACTTACTTCTAGGTTAACCCTGCGGTGGTATTGATTTAAGTCAGTTACCTCTTGCTCCAGACCACCAACTCTTTCCTTTAGCTAGCTCATCATTCTCTTTCCAAAGACTGGTATTTGAATCTTGTAAAATTTTTAGCTTGGTTTTCATGTCTTCAAATTGCTTGTTAATTAATTGTATCGATTTTGTTACCTCAGCTTGTGATGCTTTGAGTTCAGTAGTATCAGTGCTGATCTTGTTTAGCTTTTCCATGATTGAATCCATATTGACACTTCACACTTCTTACATAAAAGCAAGTCACCTCATGTTAGTTTAACTCCTCTGGTTGCAGCACAATCTTCACACTTAGGCATAGTTAGACAGAAGCAATTAGGAGATGATACATGCAAATTGGGTATTGCATAATCCTGAACAATAGCTTTGCATGAATTAGTCACTCAGGAGAACAAAAGACATGAATATATTACTTGCTTGGATGAGGTTTTGTACAGTGATACTACTGGTAAATTGCTGATAAACTGTTGAGTCTTGCGCACTAGATCATTCGATTGCGCCAGTGTAGTCTGGTTTGGAGACAACAGGTGACGGATCCCTGGACCTTTCCAGGTGGTGACATCCTGTTACGGGATACCGCTGAAATCTCCATCTCCCTGTCAGTGTCTCCCCTATTAGGCACTGCCAGGGGACTCCTGCAAGGCGGAAGCAATCAGGCAGGAAGTAGCAGTTTGCTGGGAAAAGGCACTAAGTCCAGGCTTCTACCCAAATGTGTTCATAGTACCAAATCTACAAGTGGCGGGTGTCCAGTTCTGGACCTAGGCAGACTGAATCAGTACGTGCTCCTCGATCGGTTCCACATGGAGACGCCATTCAGCGTTCTTCTCTCCATCCACCGTTTTGACTGGCTAGCCCCACTAAACTTAAGCGGGGCCTACCTGCACATACCGATGCACCCAGCGAGTTGCCATCTCCTTCGAATCACCTAGCTGGGCCAAGTATTCGAATTTCGGGTGCCCTCCTGCTCTGGTTATGCACAGCACCCTACGTGTTCACCAGAGTGATGAAACAGGTAGTGCGTGGTATAGCTATTTCAAGTATGTAGCTTAGCGCTAAACAGCCTATCCGAATGTCTAGTCAGCGTTCCCTCCGAGAACTAATGCAGATCATTGGCATGATAACCTTGGTTTGAAGGTTGGTTCCCCAGGCCGTACCACGCAGCCGCCCGGTATAACGCTTGTTGTTACAATGCCGAGCTCTCCTATGGGAACTAGATAGGCGGGTTTTGATCTCGGACCAAGTGAAGGAAACCCTGCCCTGGCGGTCGGACAGGGGGCCCCCTTGGACCCACTCGCCGCAGGTAACACAGAACAGAGTGGCTGATACCCCAGTGGGTAGCCTCCAGGCTGTTTCGGCTGTGGGACGGTCCAAGGTTAGACCAGAAGCCTGGGCCAGGGTCACTTTGCTAACCCCGTGTACCTACTTAGTTGTGTACGCCTTTCCTCTCTTCCCGCTAGTTCACCAAGCACCGGAGAAAACTTCGACAGGTGCACACCTGCATATTGTTATTGGTTGCACCCAATTGGCCAAGCAAGGCCTAGTTTCCACTTCTGTCGGAAATGCAAGTCAAAACACCAGTAGTGCTTCCGAACTTACCCGACCTGCTGTCCCAACCAGACGGCGCACTACCAACGAGCCCAGTAGGTGGTATCACTTACATGCATAGAGGCTCTCAGTAGACCCGCACATACAAACATTTTATCTGAGCGGGCTGCCAACGTCTTGGCCAGGGCGAACAGGGATTCCACCAACGCAGCCTACATTTCTAGGTTGCGAGCATACATTGATTGGTGTAGCGGAAGGGATATTGATCCATACCATCCCTCTATTGGCCAGGTAGCAGGCTCCTTCGACCACCTGTTTGACGAAGTGGGTTTGTCCTATTCAGCGATCACTGGCTACAGGTCGCCCTTGTCCCCCACCATTGAGAACGTATGGGAACAAGAGTAGCCGATTGTCCTATTATTAGGAGACTATCTACTGCTCTCCAGACGCCAAGACCCTATAGAAGGGAACCGCCCAACTGGGACTTGTTCATTGTGTTATCCGCTCTAAACAGACTGCCCTTTGAGCCTCTCTGATCAGCACCACTCAAATTTTTGACTTGGAAAATTGTCTTCCTACAGGTCCTCGCCTCATGTAAGTGTCAGCCAGAGCTGGGGCATTGTCCTTCTTGGATGATGTACCGCCATTAAGGACAATCAAGTTGTGCTAAAGACACGAATCGGGTTTCTCGCCAAGAACCAAATCCCAGGACACAATCCTCACCCGATCATCATCCGCCGACTGTCAAATTTTGTCGGCCCGGAGGGTCAGGAGGAATTGCTTCTCTGCCCGGTTTGAGCATGGAGTTGCTACCAAACCGTACTAAGGATTCAGGACGGGGTGCCAGGCACATGTCTTTGTGTTACGGCCCAGGCAGGCAGGATAGGCCGGCCTCCCCAACTTCCATAACCAGGTGGTTTACTGTGACTGTGTCAGAGGTCTATAATATTTTAACTGCCTCAACACAGAGCTTTCAGAGACACCAAGTATGAGCGCATGAGGTCTGTGTGACTGCCAATTCACTAGTGCTAGCATCAGGTGCCCACTCGAGCACACAGGAAGGGCAGGCTTCTGGAGAACGCAGATTGTCTTTATCAACTACTACCTAAGAGACACCGCATAGGCAATATGTCAGTCTCTTCATTTTTTGCAGACAGATTTCTCTACCATCAGCACTCCCTGGAAGCTAACAGGTCCCGCTTTTCGGTCTATGCCCTCATGCAGAACTGTTTCGGTCTTTACTTACTACCCCCAGACTTGGGTTGGGGTCTAGCTTTCTCGGGCACACCAAACCCTGTCACCGTAGCAGCATTTTGGCTTCTTGCTCCGGGGACAGTCCGTAGCGTTGGTCTAAGTCCTCGAGGCGGAGAGAAAGAAACCAGAGTGATTAGCCAGCCGTATTGGCGCCACCATATGGCCTCGTCACGTGGTTCGTGACGTAAGGGAAAAGAGTCTTGGGGTCATGGGGCTTCCTCTGACCTAGATTCTATCTCTCCGTCATTTGCAGAATCGCTGATTAATGCCTACAGTTCAAAATAGTCATTTTGACTGATCGGAGTCTATGGTGGGTATGAACTATGTGAATAGGCAGGTTCGGAGAACCCTCTGCCTAAGTTTTCCTGTACGGGCATTCAAATCATCTGTTAATATCACATCTCCACATTTTCAATCTTTCTCATTATTTCTGAACTTGCATTAGAAGATGACTCTGGCGGGATATATGCAGCACATATGAAAATGTCTTTTAAGTTGATAAACATAGTTTTGTCCAGCTTAAGCCATAAATAATTTTCATCACCTCCATCATAGGTCTTGACTCTTTTTTTCAAACAAGATTTGATAATAATTGTGATCCCACCTGAACCTCTTCAAGCTCTTTTACGTACTCTTCTTGTTTTGTTATAAATATAATAGTTTGGATAATTGAAAAGTCATTGGGTCACAGCCAAGTCTCTACTAAAAAAGCAATGTCATCGTTGTTTACAAAGTTTATAAAGTCACTATCCTCCTACTTTTTTCCAAGACGAGCAATATTCCATGTACCAAGTCTTAGGTTGCTTGTACTCCAGTGGATCATGTTGCCCTATATGTGGATGTTTTATACATGACCTGAGTGTCTCTGATTAGCATTTTCTGCAGACTGTCCCCATATTGTTGACATAATTTAGGACATAATTACCCACCGGTGGCATATATGGGTTAAAGTTACTGTTATATTGACAATATGGTGGAGGAAACATAAACAATGGGAATTGTAGGTTTCTGTTCATATGAGATGGTATGTTGTTTTCCTCATTATTAGTTGAATGACGCTTCTGATATTGTGTTGGATTTGAAGTTGGTATCTTCAGAGTTGTGATCACATTATTGGAAGGTTGAATGTTATTACTAAATGTAGTGCAGTCTTGTTCAGCATGTTGTTGCACATGTGGTGATATTTCTTTAGCGTTATTGTTGGTAATGTGTTTTTCTTTATTTTGACTGTATTGAGTATGTCTGTTTTGAGGATGGCCTCTTGCATGCTTTTTGCTAATAGCTCTGTGCCCTGATGATTTAGATGTAAGTCGTCTTTGGAATGTGTATCCAGTGTTGCTGATATGAGGATATTATAATTATCCACAAACACAAAGTTGTCTTCACTGTTACATAAGTTGCACAAATAATCATTAAGCTCTCTGATATCAGCATCGCAATCATAGTCAAATCTTGGAGATATTCCGCATATCAAGATCAGCTAATAGTAAAGATTTGTATTCTTCCTTCCATTGATAAAGATCTTTTGTTATCAAGTCATTAGTTCCGACGTTAATAATTAGAACATCTTTACTATCTCTCAGATTCTTTATTATTTCCATTGCATATTTTCTTGGTAACTCTATAGTTATTAATCAATTTATGGTTAATAATTTGTCTTCCTGTAGAGTCCGTAAGCAGCAATCATGACTTAGACATTGTCTTCCTGTACTGATGATCGCCATGAACCTCTCTCTCAGTTGAATTCATAATGCCATTTCTTCTACCACCTCTCTGTGTGTTCATATTTTCTCTTTGGCTGGATTCATCATCTAACAGTATGCTGAATTTGTTTTGCGTTGGTACATTTGGCACAGTTATCTGCTCATCTTTTTTATCATTCTCATTATGTTTTCTGTCTGTAATAGGACCCTGTGGTTCCGCTTCTTTTTTATCATCATTTAACTGCTGGTGTTTGACCTCATCCCTAAATGCATTTGTCTCATTTCTTAAAGTATTTACACTCTCTGAGTTTCCTGTAATAATTGTTTAATCTCTGCCTTTAGTTTGTTTATATTTGAGGTCAATTGATCACTGCATTAGCTATACTTATTCTTAGATTCCTGAAGTAATCTTACAGCGTTGTCTTGACCCTCTCTAACTTGAGCTAGTGCCTGTTTTAAGATCTTTTAAGTTATTGATTTCTTCATTCTTTAAATCCATTTGTTTAGACACATCATCTTGGATTGCCTGTATTTGTGATAATTCTTTCTTCATGTTGTCTATTTCATCATCTTTTGTTTTCATTGTTTAGTTTATTTTTTATTGAACATCCTTCATTTGAGAGATGGGGCCCACAGCGGGCGCAGCAACCCTGTGAGTTTTTCCTGGGGGCCTATTGCAGACATTAACATTTTAAAGGGGGCATATTTGCCTCCCGCGCGGGCCCGCTTTAAAAGGTGAAAAACACCTCCGTTTCCCGCTAAATTTGAAACACACATGGCGTAGTAACGGCATATAGAGTGACCCCCCCCCCGAGTGGTGGGTTACTGATGCATGTCATTTTTTCTTTGTGATTTGGTTCAAAATGTCCAACTGGCGGTTGTGTTGGTTTTAGACATCTATGTGTCCACTTTCTGATATGTATTTGGCCGAATTTGCCCAAACTAGGTACAAAGAACATATAATGGTATTCATATGCACATCTGTTTCAACATGTCATCGACCTTGTGTGCCTTGTCCGATTTTAATCTTACTTACCGTGGTGTTGTCCTTGTTCATGGTGGGTTAATTACTGATGTATGTCATTTATTTTTGTGGTTTTGATTCCAAATTGATACGTACTATTAGTTTTGTTTGTAGATACACTTCGATTCACTAATTTTGTTTAAATTTGAATGTGGATTGGGATTTTTTTTATATGAATAAGCTTATTTTTACAGCGATAAAATCAAATATCCCTACTTTTATTTATTTACCTATTTATTATATCTAAGGCCATGTATTTCTGTTTTAAAACACAGACTGACATTTATGTTTTGTTGTTTGTAGATTACTAGGCAATGTGTGTGATGACGTCACTATCTCTCAAACATGGCGTTCACTGGCAGTTTGGGTCGATCGCTGCTGAAATTTGGATAATACATTATTAACACTGTACATGTTCTTAAAAATACTTAATTAGGTGTCCAGAAGAGAAGAAAGTCCATCCGGCATTAGAAGGTTAAATTATTGAAGTCAGTCGTCCATAGTCCGTTGTCGACAACAAAAACAGATAGTTGCAAACACATAAGCGTATACCAAATATTGATGATTGGCAATGTTAGGAGTAGATATAAAATATAAATTCAATTATTTGTAATATCGAGAGTTTTAAACCAAATTGTTTACGAGGAATTCAGTGAAAAGGTCACCTTAATAGTATTAGAGATATTAAAAGTAGAATAATTCCGTAAGTAAGCGCACATACAATGTATTACAAAATACAGTTCAAATATGTTGACACTTGCATCAGCTGTGTGCCATTGAGCTAAATTACCATACATATCGTGCTTTTTATTTAAATTAAAAAAAAACAAAGGCTAGCATACTGTCCGTGTACATAAAATATAAGAAAAATACCAAATCACGCGAGATTTACCAAGTTGGTACAGTACAGCCCCCCCCCCCCTCCTAGTTAGGTAATATGAACTGTTACTGTCGATGTAGGTTTCCAATTAAAGAATAAGCTCTGCGAAGGTAAATCCGTGTTTTTCGTGTTGCTGTGTTTATTAATTATGTAGATCGAACAACGGAATCACTCGACACTGTAATTCCCTGCATTAGGCACATGTTTTGATTTTAACTTTAATTTTTAACAATAATGAACTCACCATTCATTGTAATATAAATATTTCTTTAACCATAATACAGTTTATTGACGTGACCGTGGCACCCATTGCAAGTTGTACTGAAGTTTCGACAGCAATAGCACTCTAAAATGTGAAGGTATCTAGTGTCAGGTCGTAGGATTCCCCATGGTGTTTTGCCAAAGTGACACAATCAACGGGTAAGTGAACTGACTACGTGGGTCAAACAACGAGATTTAACTCGTTTGAAGTGGGCGTTATTGTTACGAAGTTGGTCTCAACTGGTGCGTATTACACATTATTACCATAACAACTGAACACTACGAAATAAAGAATGGGACCTGAAACACTATAGCCTGAAGGGTTCAGTGAGTCTGACGTATTGACCGTACCTGTGTGGACCAACACGTCTTTATATTGCGTAATTGGTGTGTATTTCAATAAGGATACCGTTCACTGTCGTTTTTAGTGAGGTACGTGTCTACATGAAGAACACGATAGTCTATGCAATCGAGAAGATATATCCGTTTCATAATAAACCAACGATACCAGATTGTTATACGAGAGTTCTTCAACGACTGCTTCCTATATCATATAGTTGTGGGCCAGTGTCATACTGCGAGTAAGTCCCAATTTCCATTATAGTTGTGGGCCAGTGTCATACTGCGAGTAAGTCCCAATTTCCATTATAGTTGTGGGCCAGTTTCATACTGCGAGTAAGTCCCAATTTCCATTATAGTTGTGGGCCAGTGTCATACTGCGAGTAGGTCCCAATTTCCATTATAGTTGTGGGCCAGTGTCATACTGCGAGTAAGTCCCAATTTCCATTATAGTTGTGGGCCAGTTTCATACTGCGAGTAAGTCCCAATTTCCATTATAGTTGTGGGCCAGTGTCATACTGCGAGTAAGTCCCAATGCCAGTGTCATACTGCGAGTAAGTCCCAATGCCAGTGTCATACTGCGAGTAAGTCCTAATTTCCAAGTTAATATAAGAATAAATGTCAGAGAAAATCACATTGTATCATAATGTGGCGTAAACAGTGTTGAATAAATTTATTGTGACCTCCAACGCGATTTTTGTAGTTGCCTG